AAGGGGAGCTTTTCCATGTGGTGTTCCTTACGGCTTTGCCGCTGGGATTCGTGGCTTTGCGACGCTCGGCACACTTTCAGGGCCGATGGCAGCAACCGGCTGACTTGACACGGGCTGGCACTCAATTCCGTCACTTTGATGTGTCCGAACAGGTCCCTAAACGCAAGGGGGAACAACAAACACGTGCGTCTAAACTTGGGGCACAAAACAATGGCCTGAAAGAAGCGAGCGTTCAGTTTCAGCAAAGCTGAAACAGCCTCAACTGGCCTGAACCATAGTTGACAGGACGTTGCGTGAACAGCTTCGCAAGCTCTCACAGAACAAGCCTTACGAGATTATTAACCTCTGACAAACACTAAACTATGGTTGTGCATGATTCTTCAGGCGTCGATGGTGTTGTCGTTGCATGGGGTGCGACCCCGACCTCGAAAAGGTAGTCGAGGCATACCACGCCCAGGAGGCGCCTGTTTTTTTGTGCGCTGGGGTAGGCTGGCTGCTAAATTTCGAGCCCAGCACAAGAGGCGTGAAGCCAGTCCACAAACATTGAAGCTTCTCCGGAATAGAGGTGTAGAGGCTAAAAGAGGCTTAAGGACACAACATAGAAGCTTCCACTCTGCAATGCGGGCAAAAACTAAGCCTGCGAGTATTTCTGCGGGCGGTTTTTGGGTGCCCAGGTCGACCTTGTGTTTTAAGGGTCTGAGGGTTGGGGGGTTGGGGGGTTTGGGGCGTTAGGGTTTTAATGCTTGTGGTTTTCAGGGTGGGGGCTTGAATGTATCGTAGCGCTTTCCCGAACTGCGTTGTGGTTAACTGCTGTCGGGTGCGATTCGCACCTGGAACCCAAATCTTCGATTCATTTTCCCACGCAGTTGCAAGCCTTCTGAAAACCCTCAGCCCCAAGCCCCGAACTCTAAATCCCCAAAACCCAAACCCCAAAACACCCCCAAAACACCAAAGGCCCCCCAAGCCCCAAGCCCAAACCCAAGCCCGAAACCCCGAACCCCGAACCCCAAGCCCCAAGCCCCAAGCCCCAAGCGCCAAACCCCAAACCCCAAACCCCAAGCCCCAAGCCCCAAGCCCCGAGCCGGACCCCAAACCCCAAACCCCAAACCCCAAACTCCTTACACCTTCCCGAATTGCCACAGGCCCCAAAGCCGCCCCAGAAGAGCCCCGAGGCCGCTTCGCGGGAGGCCTCCCTGGAGCCGGGCCGCCCCAGAAGAGTCTCATGAGTTTAGGGTCTTGGGTTTAGGGTCTAGGGTTTGGGGTTTGGGGGTTTTGGGTTTAGGGTTTTGGAAGTTTAGGGTTTTCGGGTTGAGGGTTGGGGTTTAGCGTTTCCGGGGGTCTGGGGCGTGGGGGTTTGCCAGTTTGAAAGCTTTGAGGTACGAGTAAGACAGGCGGAAAGTTACCCGGAAGGTCGGGTTGCGATTTCATGGTTTAAGAACCCTGACCTAAACCCCCCCTAAAGTCCTGAAGTCTGAAACCCCTATACGCCTCTGCAGACATATACGCCTTCTAAACCCTGGTAAGCCCTTTTTCAATCCTTGCGATGCTGAACCCCCCACAGCCCTACCACCGTGCACAGCAAGTTCTTTGCGGCCCCCTAGGATGCAGTCGGGGACCGCTCCGGCCGCCTGCCCAGGTAGAACTGGGGCTTTAGGAGCTTTTGGGGGGCTTTCGATATTCGGTTCTGCCCATATGGGGATTTCCGAAATAGGGGTACCCCTTATATACCCCAAGATACTATACAATCCCTTCAAAGGAACCCCAGAAGGGTACTCCTATTTCCGGAAACCCCCATATGTAGAAGAACCCATGTTAGTGTTCTGCGTTTGCCGTATAGTTGCAACCCTCGACCCTTAAACCCAAGCCCCAAAGGCTGTCGATGCTACGTTTAACAACTACTCCAAGTTTGTAGAACCATGTCGTGACCTGTGTAACTTTGAGACAGAGAGCCCTCTGCAGACCCCTGTGGCCCTCAAGCTCCTAAAATGCCCCAAACACCCTTAAAAGCCCCGAAGCCGCAGCCAAGCACCCGCTTTCAACCTTGAGAACTCAACGGGAGGCCCTGGGAAGCAGCGACTCCGCGGCCAGCCGCGGCAAAGCTCGCCAAGCCAGGCCATGAGCCTTGTGAGAGTTCAGGGCCGAACGCCCCGAAAGCAGCTCAGGCCAGTGGCCTTTGAGAGCTGAGTTTTCTTTGAAGAGTTGGAAGGAGCGTCGCTTTTTTGTAGTAGCCAAAGCCCCCAAAGCCCAGCCAAATCCGCGAAGGGACCCCCAGGCCCTGAGCACTCAATTAAAGGTCCTCCTCCGTGAGTGGCTGTTGTAGCTTCTACTTGGAAGGTTCATGTGGAAGTTGTAAGTGCAGTTTCAAGTACCTACATCCCAAGAGCAGATCGCCTAATGGCTTGTGTGAAGAGGCAGCGCCCCAGCCGACACAAGCGCGGCGAGAGCAGCTGAAGGCAGCTTCGCACCAGACCAAACCGGTGGGAAGGGACCCCCCAGCCGCAAACCACAAACCCTCATCCCTTCCAACTAAACCCCAAAACCCCAAAAACCCCCAAACCAGTAATACCTTAAGACCCCTAAAAGCCAACCCAAAGCCACCTCAAAACCCTGAACCCTTACACATCAAAACTTAGTTCCCAAATCCCTTGCTACGAGCCAGAGCCGCCCAAAAGACCCCTGAAGGCCTGAATCCTTAAAGCCATTAAAGCCTAAATCGGTGATCCCGGCTACGAACTGAAACCCTAAACCCTGAACCCTAAACCTTGAACCCTAAACCCTAAACCCTAAACCCTAAACCTTAAACCCTAAACCCTAAACCCTAAACCCTAAACCCTAAACCCTAAACCCATCCAAACCCTAAACCCTAAACCCAAAACCCTAAACCCATAACCCATAACCCATCTAAACCCTAAACCCTACTAGAAAACCCTGAACCCTAAACCCTTGGAAGGCCCGGCCCCCGAGCGACCGAAAGCGCCCGGAGCTGACGAAGGCACCACGTGATCAGAGGGCCATTCGAGGGTTTTTTTAAGGGGCACTAGGGTTGTAGGGTTGTAATTAGGGTTGTAGGGTTTTTAGGGTTTTGTAAGGGCTAGGTTGTAGTTTGGGTTGTAGGGTTTTTCAAGGGGCTGGGTCGTAGGGTTGTACAGTCTTCAGCGATTTGGGTTTAAGGATTCTAGGGTTTTCAGGGCCAGGTTGAGGGTTTGAATTCGGGTTGTAGATTTTGAGGGTTTGGAGGGTGTTACGGTTGTAGGGTTTTATGGTTGTAGGGTTTTAATGTTTTAGGGTTTAGGGTTTTAGGGTTTTAAGGTTGGAGGGTTTGGGGTTTTGGGTTTCAAGTGTTCTACAAGTAGGATATTATCTGCAATAACAAAGGGTTTAGGGTTCAGGTTCTCGGGTTTCAGGGTTTAGGGTTTTAGGGCTTCAGGATTTTGTTTAGGCTTTGGGCTGCGTTTCCACAACAATACAAACCAGATAACCTAGGACATCATTTTCATGTTTTCATCTGTTCCATGAGGACACTCCTGCAAAAACACTGCATAACAAGAAGACCCTCTTCGGACCCACATACCTCCAAGGACAAAAAAAGCCTGAGGGGGGGGGCGGGGGGTTGGTTCAGGGTTTCGGGTTTTAGGGTGTAGAGTTGGATGAGCAGAAACGCTAAACCCCAAATCGACAGCCACACAGCCCCCATGAGGCCGACGCGGAGCAGTTGTTCAGGAACTGGGACGTGTTCAATGCGGAGGTGGCTTGTAACTGTAAACGCGCCGGTGCTTGGGTGCAATGAGTTGGGTGGAGGAGCGTGTGAAAACTGAAAGCACCACAGGGTTGTGGTGGTTTTCCTTTGAGATGCAAGTATCGAAGCTGATTGCATCATGTGCTACACGCGAGCTTCTTGGTTGTTCCTGGTGTGGCTTGTGTTTGCCTCCCCCGAAGTGCGGGCCTTAAATCCATTCTTCGCAGACCCTCAGCAAGAGCAAGCTGCGGGGATTGTCAATCGTCGCTTCACCTTCAGCTACCCGAAGTCTTTTCCTCCACCCGACACATCGAGCCCCAAACCCCTAAACCCTAAACCCTAAACCCTAAACCCCAAACCCCAAGCCGCATATATCCTGCAGCAACCTCGGGAAGTCAAAGAGCGAGCGGTGCTTAAAAGTGTGCGGCGCAGGTCATGTCTCAGTTCACGGCGCCCGGGCCCCCAAGTCTCAGGGGCATCGCTTCTTGGGCTTGAGAATGCTTGAGAGTCTTTTTTTTGGAGTAGGCGGTTGAGGGCTTCGGGTTTCGGGTTTAGGGTTTAGGGTGTAGGGTCTAGGGGATAGGGGGTCAAGAATGTTGCAGGGTTCAGGATTTGTCGGTCTTTGGGGGGGTGGGGGGGGGAGGCCTGATGCTTTTGGTTTCCCCTAAACCACGCAAGCCTATCTCCGAGGCTCTGGAAGACTCTCGGGCAACTCCAAGAAGAGGCTTGTCACAGTTGCGGGCAGATTTACAAGAGCCGAAGTGCTTATCAACATTATCGCACTTGCACGCCCTAGATTGAAATAACAGAAGCCCACAATAACCGTTCTGTGTGGGGCTTTTGGGGTCTCTCAAGCCTGTGCCAGCAAGGCACTGCACTAATCATCTTTGCCCCCCCCCCCAAACCAGATGCGAAAGAGGTGACCCCCTGGCCTTGACGTAAACACCGGAACCCTGAGCCCAAGCCCAAAACCCCTGAAGCTGATGAGTCTTGCAAGTTTGGGACATCTTTGGGGTGTTGACGGTGTTGACTGAAAGCTGCTACGTGGCCGTCGTCCGAGACAAGGAGGCTTACTTGTAAGACCTGGCAAGGCTTCGAGCGCTGCCTAACGCGGAATGTCTATTTTAGATAAAGAAGTCTAGTATCGCATCGGTTGAAGGGGCACAGCCAGGATAAGATCAAAGCCAGCGTTGGGAACAGAGCAGCTCAAACACATTGAGTTTGGGTTACAGTGACAGCACCCGTGCCCGCTTCTGGTCCCGCTATGGAATCTTCCATGGTCTCCGCGGGGATCTCAGTTTTCGTTTGTAGATTGTAGACGGCTTGAAGCATCTTGAAGGGTGATGGAAATGGGATGCACTTCTCTCAGGCGTTTACCTGGCTCCTGGATGTCTTTGCGCCCTGTCGGGCAGCATGTGAGGCAGGGCATTTGTGATAGCTCAGGGCAGGAGTTCTGAAGCTTTTGCGGCAGGTCTCCGGCGAGGAGGTGGGGGCACTGTAGTGACGGAGTGACGGTGATGCGGTGTTTCTTGTCGAACATTTGGCCTGGACAATGGACAGGCTTTCGAAGTCGTAGTAGACGCGCAGGAAGGAGCCCAAGCTCCTGAGGCGGCCGTGTTCTCAATCGGAGCTGACGTCCTTTTGCGCAGCATTTTCCAAGCGCACAGTGCTATGTGCAGAGATAGAAGGGCTGCAGACAGCGCATGTTCGGCCCTGAGGCCAGCTGTACGAAGATGGAGTTTGACATGTCTGGCACCGGATGCTGCAAGGACGAGTTGCCTGCACAGGGCTCAGTGAGGTTTGAGTTCTGTAGCTGTAGCACACATGTCCATAGATGTTCACCATGATCAGCACAGATCTCGAAACATGCCCTGGCTTTTCCTATCCAGGACTCTGGGGGCAGTCCGAGGGGTCGCTCGGGATTGCCTTTCTCGCTCCTTGATCTTATCATAGCCTTCCTTCCTGGGTTGAGCCCGACTTCGGCCGCCAGTGGAACAGGGGATGCTTCTACATTTTCTGGAAGTGTCCGTTGTGTTTGTTATGCACTAAGTACTGGTCGTGGAGAGAAAGGAAGTAGTGTTTTTGGTTCTCCCGAAGCGATTCATTGTGGAGCGGAAGATCCGCATACTTGGCTGATGAGGCTTGCTGGCCGACCCTGCGACACCTGGGCTTTGGCTGACTTGTATCCTGGGCACCTTGAATGAAGTGATTCCCAACCTCTCTGCCGACCCTAAACCCACAGGCGCCAAACACTAAGGCCTTACAAAGACCCCAAGCCCGTTGCAGGCTTGCCAGAAGCATGATCGCCTACTGCGAGGTGCCGTGGACGAGGATTTTTAGTGCAAGCTCAAGCGCCGACGGAGTTTCCTTCCCAAGCATATTCAGGGACACGCGTATGGCCATGTTGATAGAAGTTTCCTTTCTTTCACTCAGAGCCATCGTGGAGAACTCTGGAAGCTACTGCATGGTATCGGCAGGTCGATGAGCTTTTCAAGCTGCGGGGGACTTGCCGAGCCTTTGGGTCAGTTTCAGAGGATGAGGCTGGGCATAGCTTGCTCGCTCGCTCTCTCTCTCTCTCTTTCTCTTTCTCTTTTTCTTTCTCTTTCTCTTTCTCTTTCTCTTTCTCTTTCTCTTTCTCTTTCTCTTTCTCTTTCTCTTTCTCTTTCTCTTTCTCTTTCTCTTTCTCTTTCTCTTTCTCTTTCTCTCTCTCTCTCTCTCTCTCTCTCTCGTCTCTTTGAGGTTTGTTTCCAGCACGTCATCCAGCTTGACAGGCAAGGTGCAGCAGATTCGGCGTGCCATGCGAGCAAGCACTCAGTCTTCCAGAGCAAAATAGTCCCCGCCACAAAGTTCATGTAACTCACTTGGAGGAGGAAGCTGTATCCCCGACTCTTATCCCAGTCATTCAGGTCTTGGGGTACTGAAAAGACGGGGTTTGTCCTCAGAAAATGGGGTTTGTCCTCATGGGAGTGCGCAGGCCGGAGGAGTTGGAATTCCTTTTCACGACCGACAAGTGGTTCCTCGCGCATCCCCGACGCGTGCTGGAAGTGCTCCAAAAATGGCGCAGACGCCTGGCAGATGAGGAAGCCAAGGACAATTCTATGGAGCACCAGATCCGATGTTCTATGATGCGCTGTGCCAGTCGTACATTTCAATCAAGACACAAGGCCATCCGCCACTGTTTTGCCCGTGATGCGCTGGCAGAACTTCGTATTGATGAGGCAGGGGTGCGCCGTGCCTCGGTGGCTCTCTTGAGATGCACGAACCGTGAGGGACTTGGTAGGTTCAGCCGAACCGGCATCCGAACAATCAGGGATGTGCTGGGCAGATATCTGAAAGTGCCGGAAATTCACCAACAGCTTCTGGATGTGCAGGTGGTGTACCTCCAGGGATTCGTGCACAAACGCCAAAGGCGATGTCAGACAAGTTGGCTTGAGGAGTCACTGGAAGTGGTAAGGAATGAGTTCGAATCCTTCTCTGCGTGGCTGAGAAATGCAACTTGTGCGTGACGGATCGGCAACACTGGCTGGCAGTTCGATACTGGCCGGTGGGTGATCCGGTCAAGCTGCTGAGGCTTGCTCCGTTTGGGCTTCGCCCTTAGCCTGCTCTGACTCACAAGAAGATTTTCTGACTGTCCAAGTGCCCGCTGAAAACCGGGATGTGGGCATGGTATTGCCTGCGGTGCAGCAAACTTCCACCAAAGACTTTCTTCTTAAGTCTTAGTTAGGAGTCTGCAAGGGTTGAGGGTTTGCAGGTTTGGGGTTAGGCTTCCGAGTTGAGGCACCGAGACGACTTCACAGTCGTGGGGCCGGGGTGTGCGTCATGAACAGCGCCCAATATCAAGCCTTCGCCTGACATTTTTGGCTCAAGACATCTTTCAGCTTTGCAGGGCCTGAAAGCAATTGCCGGCTGCCCCATCTCGTTCAAAGCCATGCAGGCCTGCATTGACCTATCCATATAGGCTCGCTAGTGTTACGCTCGTGCAGAAACCTGCTGTCTCTGCCACCTTCATGTGGCGTGTGCGTGCTCGCTTGTTTCACCTCTAGCCTTGCACTGTTTTCGACCAGGTGTTCCTGGAAGTGTACTTGTTGTCTTGGTGCCTGCCGCTGCCATACCACCTGGCGCTCTCGCAAGATGGTGTCCCGGCTTGCTGCAGTTGGTGTGATCTTTGCGGGAAAAACCTGTGCTGCACCTGTCAGGGCAGGAGTGGTCCTTCGGGACGCAAGGAGTGGCCCACAACGATGTGGGCGATGATCCTGCAGCTTGTCGTTTGGTACCGTAGGGCCTGTTGATGGAAATGCTCCCGGAGTCGTCTGGTAAGTTGTCAATGTTCTCTCAGCCAAGAATTTTCCTGGCCTGCATCTCTGCAGCATCGCCCTTGGAGCTTGCACCACGCAAGCCTTCAAGCAGGCGATGGAGGACACCATGACTCACCTTGAGAGTCGAGTGTTCTTCGAGCAAGCTGTATTTGTGTGCTCCGTATGCTGCAGGACTTGGACAGCAACTTCGACCTCAACTACAACCTGGCGTATAGAAATTGCCAACATTGGGTACGTTCTTCATCGAACCTTTCCGTGGGGTGTTGTGGCTCTGTGTGACATGTGTGTGCACAGGTGTGGGCAATGACGGCCAGGTCGCCGGGCTTGTTGTGATTGTCTGCAGTTGCCGGGTATAGGACATTCCGGCAGTCCCCAAGCAGAAGCAAATGCTTGTATTGATCTACCGTGATTGTTGCTGGCAGCGTGTGCCTTGGGGTTCCTTTGAAGCCGGTTGTGTCTACTCTTGTCGGCGGCCGTGTCGCATGTGAAAGGGCATCTTATGTCTGTTGCGTCTGGGTGGTAGTTATCCGAACCGTAGACACCATTGACACCACACCACGCCAAGCGCCAGCGCCAGCGCCAGCGCCAGCGCCAGCACCAGCACCAGCACCAGCACCAGCACCAGCACCACACCAGCAGCAGCAGCAGCAGCAGCAGCAGCAGCAGCAGCAGCAGCAGCAGCAGCAGCAGCAGCAGCAGCAGCAGCAGCAGCAGCAGCAGCAGCAGCAGCAGCAGCAACCAGCACCAGCAGCAGCAGCAGCAGCAGCAGCAGCAGCAGCAGCAGCAGCAGCAGCAGCAGCAGCAACCCGCACTTTGTCCATTTTTCGAACATTCACGAGCCTGCATGTTCATCATGCAGGCTTGGTCTGCGCTCGCCGTCGTGGTGGACGCGCCCAGGGGTCGGATTAGGTGTGCTGGGCTTTTTGCTGGGGTTGGCAGCATTCTCAAAGTAGGATGCGCCCGAGCAGCATTGCAGTTCCAATGAACAGGTATCGTCGCAGCAAGGCATCAAGAGAGACGAAAAAGATACCCAGCGGCAGATCCACTTACGCGGCCCTTTCGCGCTTCAGACATGTGAGCGTGCCAAATTGGTGACCCACCAGAACTCCACAAAGCAGGGCAGTCCCCTTGGGGTGGGTTAGTTTCAGCGCTGCGTCAGCTTCGGCCCAATGATGCTTACATGCGGGATGAGTACACGAGGCATGATGCGAGACAGAATGTGTTGATTCGTTGGCACTTCATGGCATGTGATGCTATTTGATCCCAGTCGCACTACGAGTCCGATTGCTATCAGCAGCCCCACGCAAAAGGGACACACAGTGATCACGTACCATGATGGTACAGAGGAGCTGTTGGACGACAAATCTCCGGGTTGACAGTGCGAGAAGGACGATGGATCAACAGTGGGTAGGAAGAACCGAGTTCGAGATGGGGACATGAGCAGCGCCAGTTATTCGGTGTCCGAGTCCCGCAGTTATTCCTATGACCCTGGTTGTACTTACCCTTACCTGCAGACCCGAAACCCTGCCCTGAGCCCGCAAGTCTTTCCGTTCTTGGAAGGCTCTGCGCGAACGACGGGAGAAGGAGGAACTCAGGCCGCGCCTGCAAGTCGCCGCTGCTTGAAGAGTTTCAAGGGTTAAAGGGTATTCATCAGTAGGGTTCGAAGAACCCAGGATAATCAGGGTTCTAGCCGCAGTTCCTGTACTTTTCGTACCCCAGCTTCACCTTTCATACCCCAGATATGTACCTGTGAACCTACAATGCGCTTTCCGCGCAAGGTTCACGTTTGAGGGGGTTTTACAACGGAGCGTGGGGGTCTACTAGGGGGGTTTAGGGGTTGCTTTTTGTTTGGGAGGTCTTGGTGGGCTTTAGGGGTTTTACGGGCTGCAGGGCCTGCAGGAGGGGTTCAGGGTCTTTAGCGGTTCGCGGCTACATTGCGCCAAAGACCAGGTTGAATAATGAGCAGCTTTGTTCTCCAGTTATTGGCAAATCAGAGCTATCCCAAACCCTGAACCCTATCTTCTGTATTGGCGGCAGCATTTATGGCAAATTATGCTGCTGCTGCTGCTGCTGCTGCTGCTGCTGCTGCTGCTGCTGCTGCTACTGAGCTGGTCACAGTGATGATGGCGCATGTGCCGGTGATGGTGATGGTGATGATGATGATGGTGATGGTGATGGTGATGATGATGATGATGATGATGAGGAAGGCGATGATCATGACGATGACGAAGAGGGCGAAGAGGAGGAGGAGGCCCACAACAAACGACGATGATGATGACGACGGTGAAACTGAATATGAATATGAATAGAACAAGAACATGATGATGTTGAGGATGGTCGGGATGATGCTGATGATAAGGAGGATGACGAAGACGGGGACGAACAGGGGCCGCGACGAACGACGATGACGATGACGACGTTGTTGATGTTTGAACTTGCTAGAAGGTGGTTGTTGTAAGGCCTTTTCTTGCAGCTTGTGAACTCCTCCTTATCAACCTGACTCAAGTGGAGTTTCTGACAACCGGAGGCAGGAAAATCGGCAGCTCCAGATGCGTCCAATCCTCAGCTGCGCGTGGCGGAGTGTCAAGCCTAGAGTTATAAAGTATGCGTATGTGATTTTCTTTTGATTTATTTTTCTGTATATAACATATACCAATATGGAAATTGTATGTATATATGCATATATATATATATATATATATATATATTGATATACATATATATATATAGATGCAAGAACATATATATATATATGATGTAGATTATATTTCGAGTTTGGGGATTAGTCATTAGGGCTGCACTAATTTGTCGAGCGCTGTTGAGTTTATCAACATATCTTGCCGAGGCTCATTCTCAGCACGTTTGAGTTAGGTTCGTCGTGCTTCGTTGCGCTGCTTCACCCTATACAACCCCTAAGATCCCTAAGAGCCTGGAAAACTCCAGAAATCCTGAATCCTGAACCTCTAAATGCGGAAAGTCTGTAGACCCTAAAAAGCCCTGAGCGCCCAAAGCCCGAAACGCTACCTCGGCGGAGATTTTGCCAACTGAGGCCTTGATAAGCTCAGCCAAGAAGTCCAGCTCCGAGAGCGTGGTGAGGGGGGTTCGGGGATCAGGGTACAGGGGGTTTAGGGTTTAGGGTTTAGGGTTCGGGGTTTAGGGTTTAGGGTTCGGGGTTTGGAGTTTGGAGGGCTTAGGGTTTAGGGTGTAGGGTTCGGGGTTTAGGGTACATAGTGGGAAACAGCGCAGTCCAACAAGATGAACCCGAGACCCCAAGACCATTCCCCAAGAGCTACTTAAGCCAGCTTGGCGAGAAGGAAGCATTCAACCCGCTTCCAAAAACAGGAGAAACACGGATGCCTCTAAAAGTCCTAGAACAATAGTAGTAATCGGAATCTTGCAATTTTTAATAGTAGCAGTAGTAGGAATAGGAGAGGGGTTTAGGGTTTGGGCCTAGGATTTGGGATTAGGGTTAGAACTCCTGTCCGAGAATACTGGGAGCGCAAAAACACCCTGTGGATGCTTCTGCCTTGCACCCGAGATCCCTATCCAAGACCCCACACCCCAAAACAAGACTAGACCCCAAACCCGACAATTACCCTCAATGCTTTACACCCCGTATACGCTCCTGTAGACCCCCCCCTTTATAACCCCCCTGTGAATTCCCTTTTATCCTAAGCCCTAAACCCTGGACCCCAAAACTAAACACGAAGTGCGAAACACTAAGCTGCTGTCTTCGCTTGGGTGCTCGAGTTTCTAGCTGCACCGCATCTATGGCAAAGGGCGCAAGGTGACGCAAGCCGAAGAAGAGGAGGCCCTGAAGTTCTCCCCACAAGGCCCTGACTGGAATGAAAGCCTACAGTCCTAAACCCTAAGCCCGATACCCTGTACCTCAAGCCTTCCTGGAGTGTCAGTGGCCCCCTACAGATCTCTCAGTCTCCCAGGACGCGGTCTTAGTGTGGGCTTTTCCAGCATCATTGCCAAGCAATGGATGCACGTCCTTGGCTCGCACTGTTAACGGGTGTGATGCTGGTCTCTGCGGAGCTTTGCTTGCCTGATGGCATTCCCAGGACTAGCCGGGAGTACATTCAGGATCCGCTGAACAGCCCGGAGGGCAGCGCCATCCGAATGGTCGTTTACGACTGGGCAGCTGCTGAGGTTGCCACGGAGCTGACTGCCATCCTGCTGTCGGAGGTCTTGGGCTACCACGTCGAGGTCAGCTCAGAGAGGACCACGGGATCCGTGGCGAGTGCACTGCAGCTCGCCGGCTGCGTCTCCTTCGACTGCTCGGAGAAGCAGCCTCGCAGCCACGTGGCCATGGACACCTGGGTGGCCGGAATGCCAGGGGAGCTGGCGGACTTCGAACGGACGCATCCCGAGTTGGCCGCCAAGAGCATGGGCTCCATGGGGTACAGCGGCCAGGACACCCTCTATGTGAAAGGGTCTGTCCGTGATGAGGCCTACTATACATCGGGGCTTGCCTTGGAGTTCTACAAGAGCTACAACACGTCCCTGCATCTTGGCGGTCTTAGGGACCTGTTTCTGGTTGTTCTTCAAGCTTCTCAAAGCCCAAGCCTGCTCGTATGATGTTCATGACTACCGTTAGACGATTGTTAGACGGTCCGAATGATTCTGATTCCCATAATGAGTATGTTGCTGATGACGATGACTATCATGAACACAATTATCACTATCGCCAAACATCCCGACGCCGAAGCTCTTGCAAAGCCAAAGCAGGCACGAGCCCTCCAAGTTCTTTAGCAAAGTTTCCGACCTGGACAAAGCTGACTTTGTCCCCTGCAACTCGAGCGCGCACGAGTTCACCAACGATGTGCAGATGAGGCTTTCTTGTGGCTTTCGGCTTCGGTTGCAAGTTTCATACAGGAGCCTGAAAGACCTACTGATAATGTTTGTTAGAATCGCTGTGAAGCAATCATGTGCACCTCCCCTGTCTATCTCAACAGGTCCCTGCATTGGAGGTGTTGGGGGCTCACCCTAGACCCCCTTCCGGGGGCTTCAGGGTATCCTTGCGTCCCAATCAGGTTCTATGGCCAGTGGACGGGGGACTGGGAAGGCGTGCTCGAGACCGAAACAGGATACTCGGCAGGCCCTAGAGGACATTTTTCATGTGCCTTTGTGCTGGGTCGAGCCACTCCCTCTAAACCATACGTACCTTATACCCTAAACCCCAAACCTACCCTGAACCCTCAACCTCAACCCTAGCCCGAAAGCCGCAGCCCCACGCCCCAAAACCCTGTAGGGCCAACCTAGGATACATCGCCAACTGCTCGGACGGCCATTTCTGGGTGTCCCCCGTTTCTGGGCGCTCAACTGAGGATTCGGCGTGCGAGGGCTTGGGTTCAGGGGCTTTTGGGCTTTGGGGGTTTTAGGGGTGCAGGGTTTAAAAAGCCGGGTTGGGGTGGCTCTTCAAGCCCTCTATTCGCATTCCTTACCCCACACATGGCATCAGAGCCCCCCCAAACCCATGAACCCATAAGCCATCAAGCCTCGGCGCCTCAACCCATGAACCCACGAAGCCCTAAGCCCCCTTGAACCCATAAGCCATAAGCCATAAGCCCCCTCCCCCGTCCCCCCTCCCCCCTTCAAAGCCTCAAAGCTTTATTCCAAATCTGAGCCCTGAGCCCGCAAGCTCCCATACACCCTAAAGTCCTAAAGCCTGAGCCCGAAGACCCTGAAAGGAGCCCCAAAACCCCCGGTACCTTGCTTGAACCGTGGAACCCTAACCTCCTAAACCCCCCAAAATACCCCCCCAAAACCCCTCCAAAACCCTCTACAAACCCCCTGAAGCCAAGAGGCTTAAACCCCCCAAACCCCCCAAAACCCACCAAAACCCTCCAAAACCACTCCAAGAGGCTTGCCGCCACAACGTCTCGGAGTGCATCCCCATCGTGGCGGCCGGGTTTGGGTGGAACGTCTACGCCGCAGGGCCCACCAAGCAAGGCTTAGGGTTTAGGAAGGCATTCTAAGGGCTTCTGAGGTGTTTTCAAGGGCTTCTAGCGGGTTTAGAGGCGGTTTTGGGCGTCTTTTGTGATCTTGAGGGTCTCGCGCTAGAGGCAGGCCCAGGTTCAGAGTGGGCGCATGTGCATTCAGAGGGCTTGCGCGCGCGCTCAGGGGGAAAAGGGGGGCCCCGAAGCTCTCCTGAGCCTTTGCCTTGACCGAGGTCTTCATGCAGTGGTCCACTTTATTTTCCATGCCGACTGCTATTGGCATCCCCAAAGGGGAGGAGCAGCGGAGATTTGCTGTGGAGAACTTCAGGACGCTTTTCCACTGGTGGTCCCCCGACGCAGCTTTCACGCACCTGGATGCCTCGATGCTGGTGTTTCCTCAACATAACAGGCGCGAGTGGGAGGCCGGCTGGTACCGGACTGCATATCCTGAGAAACTTGGCTGCCCAGCGGTGCTCGTTGTCCCTTTTTGGTGTTTTTTGGGCTCCTGTGCAAAGGCAACCTCTTGCTACTATTACTATCATCCTCCGGATGAAGTTGGTTCCATTTCCACCCTTATTGAGGTAGACTATGGGCTACCGGGCTACCGAGGAACCAGATCATCAAGCTCGTGGCCGGGCAGCTGACTGGGATGGCACCTCGAGTCACGCGGTTCTTGGAGAACTTGGAGCCCTGGCCTGTTTTTTTGGATTTCTTCCCTTTTGAACCACTTCTGCATAGAACATGAGCTCAAGTGCCACAAGGATGTGTAGTACCTCAAAGCCCAAGCGGACCTAAACCCTAAACCCTAAAACCTAAACCTCAAACCCTTCTTTCTGAGAGCTTGAGTGTCTTATGAAGGCAACCCTGGCCATTTGGGGGTTTACGAAGATACTGGATCCCTAATATAGACCCCCAAATAGTAGGATTGCCTTATAATATGGACCCCAACAAGGTACCCTAAACCCTCATCCCTAAACCCTAAACCCTAAACCCTAAATCCTGATTTCGAAACCCCCCCCCATGTCACAAAGCAATTTCAGGAGCTTTACCTCGATGACGTGCAGGGCCTCCTCCTCGAGCTGGAAGCCGGGGCAACTGCGCGGGCTGCATCGTGTGGTTTGGTTGCCTCTATGAGCTTAAGCTTCTTGTAACTTCAGTTACCATCGTAAGGGTTTAGGGTTTAGGGTGCGTTCTGGTGTTTGGGGCTTAGGGTACCATCATCCTTATTTTATGGCAACTTTCTTTATCTTCCTTAGCAAATCCAGGCAACTGGGTCCGCGCCCAGCGGAGCGTTTGGACAGGTTGGATTCCCGTGGACACGCAGTGCCTGCCGGGTGAAGGCCTGCAGGACTCTGCCGGAGACCTGGGTTTGCGGGGTTAAGGCAAGCTCATAAGAGTTTCTGTTAAGCCACCCGTGATACGTCGAAATCTGTTAAAACCATGTGTGAATACTCTGTTCCTGAGAACAGCAACTTAGGAGGGCACCTCACAGACCGATCCGCGGCGGTGGGTTGCTCGGCATGCCACCCGGGCAACTTCTCCGAGGCTTTCCGCGATGGCCAGGGGGCCACTTACGTTTGCCGGCCCTGCCCAGCGGGAAGCTTTGAGAACGCCTTCGGCAAGACCCACTGCGTGGACTGCGACGTGGGGACCTTCACGGAAGGGACCGGCCAAGCACACTGCACTCGCTGCGGTCTGGGCCGCTATGCAACTTAGCTGCCGAGTAGGTGTAATCTCAAAAAGACCATGTGTTATGGGTGTTATGGGTACTGTAAACCCGACCCCGTTGAAACCCCAGCAAGGCAAACTCGACGGGAATGACCCACTGTCATGCCTGTGGCATCGACCACTGGACGACCAGCCAGCGTGTCCCGAGCGAGGGCTTGGAGAAGTGGCTTGAAGTGGATGGGGCGACGTCGGAATCCTATTGCACATGCGTCGAAGGTTGGCCGCTTGCCTCTTTGATTGTGTCCCTAAGCCCAAAAATCCTAAACGCCAGACCACAAACCCTTAAGCCTCAAAGGCCAAGCCTTTAAAGAGTCAGAAGCCCCAAGCGAAGAGACCCCCAATCTGCCATGCCTTCCCTGAAGCCCCGCAAACCCCGACCTCGGGCAGGCATCGGGTGCAGGCTTGCTTAGATTGAGGCAGGTTCAGTGGACTTCCGAGAGCACGTCAATGCGGCACAGCATCTTGAGAGTGCCGGGCTTTACACGGAGAAAAAAAGGAAACGCGGGCCCCCGACCCGTGAATTTCCCGAGCCTTGGGTACCCAGCGGCCCAGACACTCAACCATGAACCCCCCCCCCCCCCCCCCCCAAAAAAAAAAGGAAAGAAAAGAAAAGAAAAAAAATTATATATATATATATATATGTAAATTTGAAAGTCCTGCCGGCCCCTAAAGCCCTCAAGACCCTGAAGCCCCAAAGTCCAAAGTCCTCGAACGGACCAGGGGTTTACGATATCAGGCGTACCTGCTTGGGGTCCTTATTGTAAGGCAAAGGGAGTCCTACTATTTGGGGGTCTTATGTAGGGGTCCCCTATTATAAAAATCTTCGTACCCTCTCACCAGGTTTCTCAACAAGGGAACCTGCGAGCGGTGCCTGCGGGGCTCCAGCTGCATAGGGAGCGAGATTCGGCTGCTGCCGGGCTTCCACTCCACGCTGGAGGACCCTCGAAAGGGCTGTGCTTGAAGGTTCATCAACATAAAGCACCCAAAACAAAGGCCACCACAGATAAGTTGCAACCCATGAGGCTCCAGGTGGGGTTGGGGCTGGCTTTGGGTGTTCATGATTGCGGCGCATCGGTTTTGGGGTACCCTCAGCCCTAAACCCTAGAACCAAGAACAACCTCAATCAACCAAACCCCCTGAGGTTTCAGGGTTGTAGGGCTTCAGGGGGTCTTCGGGCATTTAGGGCTGAAGGTCCCAGGGTTGTTTTCGCGTTCAGTGTTTCTGGTCTCGGGTCATAAGACTGAGATAGACCTTGAATCTGGCCGACAGAGGGTTTTTTTTGGGGTTGTAGGTAGGTTCTGGGAGTGGGGTTTAAGGGTCGTTTGGGATTCAGTAGGCTTGCAGTTCATGAAAGGGATGTCCACCTCGCCGGTTTTGTTGCACGTTGCACGATTTCGGTGCAGGAAGTGGTCACCAAAACCACAAACCCCCCCCCCCCCTCCCCCCCCAACAACAAAAAAAGAAGAAAACCCTCCAGAATCTCAAGGTTTTTCACCCTCCGGCTGAAGCCCAATTCCTGAAACCCTAAGAGTATACGGGGGCCACTCCTTCTGCATTGCCTTGAAGGAGCCGGGACACTCGGATGCATTCGTCAGGGCCAAGCCATCAGTTTTGCTTCCTTCCCCAACCCTTCATGTCAGCTACTCGAGGCACCCCAAGCCCTAAAGCCTAAGCCCTAAACCCTAGGAGTCCTGAAGCCGCAAGAGCCCCCAACCCTAAATCCCTTGTTTAGGACTTTTAGGGCAAGCCCCAGAACCCCCCCCCCGGCCAAAACCAAAGGCATGGTCTACAAGTGCTTCGGGCGAGCCTCGCGCTGCCCTGGTGGGGCCCCTGGCACTTGCGCCTCCGGCCGGGATGCTGGGACGTTGACGCACCACGGCTGGTCTGCTTAGTACTTGCAGTAGTGCGTCTTGGGGCGCCTTGGGTGTAGGGATTTGGGGTTTAGGGTTTTGCGCTTGAGGCAGCCGACTGCTCGGAACCCTAGGCGCAAAGAGGCCCAAAAACACCCTCCCCACCCCAGTTGGCATTGCCTTTGACCATTTTCAAATGGGTATTTCTACCGCGCACCCCCACACACCAAGTCCAAATCTTTAGACAATGTTTCAACATCATTTTTTCAACAAGAAGACCAAAATTCCCAAACACCATCCAAAATCACAAATATTCCCCACCCTCGGTGTGGGGTTGTGAGATTTTAAACTCAACTCTTCTCCTCGCCCGGAACTCTTCTCCTTGCCCGGTCTACTCCTCGCTCAGCCCTGGAGTACATTGTTTTGGGCGTTCTATGATAAGGATTTTCTGTCCTGACGCATATAGAACCTCCAATGGAATTAGCTACAAGGTTCTCTGGTTTAGCCTTGCGCCTGATGAGTCTTTTATCAGTATAAAACCTACCATGCAACTCAGACACGATGCACGAAAACAGTTTTGTTAAGTCATTGCCGTCATGCCATGCATGAAGGTACTGTTCTTCATCCGTGTGTTTTCTAATGTTCAAGGATGGTATCATGTAAAACTCCACTGGTGCAGACTTCTCATTTTCACGGAGGTCGTCTGGGGAAGCCTTCACGAAGATATGATAGTTAGAATCCTGTGGTAGCATCTGCTTCAACAAACTGAGATTTCCACCCACCGTGTAGGTGGGATTGTTCTTCATTCTTGCGCACAGTGTTAGTGTGTGATGGTCTCGTTTCCCTCTGTCATACTGATACACCCGATTCGCGAAAACATCAGATACCCTAACTTGAGTCCTGTAGCGCTCAAGCACCATCATCATCATCATCATCATCATCATCGACTGCACTGAGCCCGAAGTCAGAATAGTCATTCGCAACTAGGCAGAAGGGTTTCACTCCTTACATCACACATGTGGCCATGCACACCGGGACATGGTGAGGCACTGACGGTGGTCAGGATGCAGCCAAACGCTGCAAGAAGACCGAAGCAACAGACCACAGTGGCTGCAGCCTGAACACCAGCAGTGCACGATCACTGTACACTCTTCTGTTTTTTGTATGGTTTTTAGGATACTTTCTCTGGTTAAGTTGTCCTTCTCCCTCCTGTGATCTCCAATAAGAGTGTTTTTAAATAATCCGTTAGAGTATTAAGCCAACACATGTTGTCCTGATAATGTTCCTTTAATGGCTTCCTTTAGTGTCTCATACTCTGGATTCAAAGGGGTCTGAGTTTGTCTTCCAGTCTTTATATTTTCTTGCTTGGCTTCTTCCATTCTCTCGCTGAGTTTGGGATTATCTGAGTTGTCATATATCTTGCTGCGTTCTTTTTCTGCCTTGTCTCTGTCCTTCGGTGTTTTCGCTGTCAGAAACTTTCTTATGAAATTGTCGGCTGTTTTAACCTGGGCTACTTTGCGTTCAGAATATAAATCTATGATGCTTCTCACCTTGTTTCCTTGGTTGCTTTGTTAAAATGCTTTTTGTAGTTCTCGTACACTGCTTCAAAAGCAGTGACATTTTGCTGAATACTTTTGGTCATAAATTGCGCTATATGTTTTAATATATATATATATATATAGATTTCAAAATTAGTCTATGTCTTTCAGTGGTTCCCTTAAAACTTTCTTTGGACTGCTTCTACGAGAAACTCGATATATCACCTAATATAGATGTCTGACTTGGCCCAACGTTTCAAGTAGGAGTTAGAATCATTTCTCAAACACCAAGTGCCCGAAAAAGACGTTAAAAAAATGTGGATTTGGTGTGTGGAGGTGTGCGCTAGAAACACCCATTTGAAAATGGGCAAACCGTCCCCTTCCCCCCTTCCCCCCCCCCCCCCCTTCCCCCCCGTACTCGTAGTGGTCTTTTTCGTGGTCGTGGTCGTGGTCGTGGTAGTGATTGTGGTAGTGGTAGTGGTAGTGGTCGTAGCAGCAGCAGTAGCAGTAGCAGCAGCAGCAGCAGCAGCAGCAGCAGCAGCAGCAGCAGCAGCAGCAGCAGCAGCAGCAGCAGCAGCAGCAGCAGCAGCAGCAGTAGCAGTAGCAGTAGCAGTAGCAGTAGCAGTAGCAGTAGCAGTAGAAGTAGCAGCAACAGTAGCAGCAGCAGTAGCAGTAGCAGTAGCACGGAAGCAGTAGAAGCAGTAGTAGTAGTAGTAGTAGTAGTAGTAGTAGTAGTAGTAGTAGTAGTAGTAGTAGTAGTAGTAGTAGTAGTAGTAGTAGTAGTAGTTAGTAGTAGTAAGTAGTAGTAAGTAGTAGTAAGTAGTAGTAAGTAGTAGTAAGTAGTAGTAAGTAGTAGTAAGTAGTAGTAAGTAGTAGTAAGTAGTAGTAAGTAGTAGTAAGTAGTAGTAAGTAGTAGTAGGAGGTGGAGGAGAAGGGAGGAGCAGCAGCAGCAGCAGCAGAGGAGGAGGAGGAGGAGGAGGAGGAGGAGGAGTAGGAATAAGAATAAGAGTAGTCGTAGGAGTAGTAGCAGTAGTAGTAGTAGTAGTAGTAGTAGTAGTAGTATAGTAGTAGTAGTAGTAGTAGTAGTAGTAGTAGTAGTAGTAGTAGTAGTAGTAGTAGTAGTAGTAGTAGTAGTAGTAGTTAGTAGTAGTAGTAGTAGTAGTAGTAGTAGTAGTAGTAGTAGTAGTAGTAGTAGTTAGTAGTAGTAGTAGTAGTAGTAGTAGTAGTAGTAGTAGTAGTAGTAGTAGTAGTAGTAGTAGTAGTAGTAGTAGTAGTAGTAGTAGTAGTAGTAGTAGTAGTAGTAGTAGTAGTAGTAGTAGTAGTAGTAGTAGTAGTAGTAGTAGTAGTAGTAGTAGTAGTAGTAGTAGTAGTAGTAGTAGTAGTAGTAGTAGTAGTAGTAGTAGTAGTAGTAGTAGTAGTAGTAGTAGTAGTAGTAGTAGTAGTAGTAGTAGTAGTAGTAGTAGTAGTAGTAGTAGTAGTAGTAGTAGTAGTAGTAGTAGTAGTAGTAGTAGTAGTAGTAGTAGTAGTAGTAGTAGTAGTAGTAGTAGTAGTAGTAGTAGTAGTAGTAGTAGTAGTAGTAGTAGTAGTAGTAGTAGTAGTAGTAGTAGTAGTAGTAGTAGTAGTAGTAGTAGTAGTAGTAGTAGTAGTAGTAGTAGTAGTAGTAGTAGTAGTAGTAGTAGTAGTAGTAGTAGTAGTAGTAGTAGTAGTAGTAGTAGTAGTAGTAGTAGTAGTAGTAGTAGTAGTAGTAGTAGTAGTAGTAGTAGTAGTAGTAGTAGTCAGGAGGAGGAGGAGGAAACCCTAAACCCTAAACCTTGCTTTTTCACCCCGAATGTCCCCAAAAAATCAAGGTGCTACAAGTGTCTACCTGGGCTTCGGGCCCTCAACAACGGCTCCTGCAGTCCCTGTGTGGCTGGGCTACTTTTCAGGAGCAAGGGTTTAGTCAGGGAGGGTTTAGGCTTGACTTGAGGGTTTTTGGGTTCAAGGTGCAGGAGTCAAATTGTAGACCATGAAGCGCATCGTTTCTTGCTTATCATTCAGCTTCTCTTCTCAGATTCCTGTTGCAGCAGTGAGCTTCCAGGTCGGCTCCTCCTATGCGGCTCTCGCCTTCGCCATCCTCTGCCTGCTTCTGGGCGTCGCCTTTCTCTACGTCGTCTTGGTCATGGACGCAGAGAGGTCCACGCAGCCCGGCCACACCTTCGTGGGTGTCGTTGCGGCGACCCAGCTCCTGACCCTGATCCAGCAGCTCGTCGTCGTCAGTAGGCTTGGCATTGAGTGGGAGGAGCCCCTGAGCGAGATTCTCGCATCCCTGTCGGTCTTTGGGTTGAACTTCGACGTGCTGTCGGTTTCCTGCGTCGCATCTCTGAGCCCCGTTCCCGAGTATGTTCTGACGGTTTCAGCTACACCCATCCTGGCCTGTGTCGCCCTGGTGCTTCATCTCTCAGCGATTGCCTTGAAGCGGTATCTGGGGCACGGCCTGAAGGTAAGATTGGACATGAGCCAGCTCCTGCGCACCGTGGGATCCCTGGTCTCCATCCTCTTCATCAGCATCTTCACGGCCTTGGTGACCCCCTTCCAGTGCAACTCCCATCCCAACGGCCGGATGACCATCCAGGAGCATCTGGGTTGAAGCCCAGGTGGGTTATCGTTTTGGGAGAAGCTAGAATGGTTGCTAGAATGGTTGCCCTAGTTTACCGTAAACGTCGGTTTCCACATGACTGTGAAGCAAGAAACGATGAGTCCTAAGCTCAGGTATGGCTCAGTCTACTGCAACTGGCAGGGGTTTCACCTGCAGATGTGCATGATCGGTGCTGTGGCCTGCTTGATGCCGCTCTGCTTCCTCACCGTTTGCATCTGGGCGCTGCAATCTTGCAACGACTTTGGGGACCCTAAACCCTAAACCCTAAACCCTAAACCCTAAACCCTAAACCCTAAACCCTAAACCCTAAACCCTAAACCCTCAGAAAGAACTTTCGAAAAGCCCTTGACCCCTAGAAACCCTGGAAGCCCAGGCACCTACATCATCTGCTTCGAGCTCCCCAAGCGGCTGCGGCGAGCCGACGCCACCTACTTCCGGGCCTGCTCCTTCCTGTGGGTCCGCTTTCGGCCCGGCGCGGAGCGCTTTGCCATCTTCATCCTCTGCAGTGGCCTGGAGAGTTTCGCTTTGGGTTGTTGGGGGGGTCCAGCGAGCGTTCTCTCTTTTTTGGGCCGGCAAGTTTAGCATCAGCCCCAAGGAAAGGTCCGCAGTTCCCAAAAGTGAGGCTTTACGGGTCTACAGATCGCACTCGCGTCCCTTAGGAAATGCTCTTATGGTGGTCTGCCCCTTGCTTCCCTCGCTCTTTGTCAAGCTCGTGGTGATGAACATCCTGCTCTACTCGAGCTTGATCACGATGACGTTGAGCCAACCTTGGCGAGTGTCAGCCAGCAATTCTCTGGACATGCTGCTGCACGTCGGCCTACTAGTTCCTTAGCTGAATACTCCCCGTACCCTGAGATGATCCTGAGCCCTAAACCTTTACGTCTAAACCCACATCTAAAATGCCTTTGCTCTAAGGCCTAAACCCCCAAGCCTGAACCCTGAACCCGGAGCTCCTCAACCCCGAAATCCCAAAGCCGTCGATGCCTTTTTGCCTGGAGTTCGGCATCGATGTTTTGGGAGGGATGTGCTTTGGCGCTTTCAGTGCCTTTCTTCTGGCACTTCAGGTTGTGCTTTACATGGCGCTTATGTTTGTCGGCAACGATGTGGACGCGACAGGCCTTGTCACAGCAACTGCAATCGCGCTGGTCTTCATAGCAATGATGGCGTTCGCAATTGCCATTACCATGATGTACGGACTGGTCCTATACGTGGTCCGCCAGAACCGAAAGCCATGGCGATTCTTCATCTCTCACCACAAGCGTGCTGCCGGCAGCTTTGCAAGGCTTCTGAAGATACAGCTGCCTGGTTTGCTGTTCTGGTGAGTTACGGCAACAAGCAGCAACTCCTCCCTCTTACTACTCACCGTTGCCCACAGTATTGGTAACGGATTTTTTTGCTCCTGAACCGCCACCCAGGCTGCAACAGAGGGGCTCCGGCAACGTGTTCTTGGATACGGACGACCTCCGGGATCTTACGGAGCTCTTCGGCTTCGTGAGGGACACAGAGACTGGGGTTGATCTGGAAGTGGCTTTTCATGTTCTCTTAGGGCCCCAGGTAGCCCGACAGAGCCCTAGGCGCCATGGGCAGCCTCATCTGACCCTGGATCACATAGGACTACATCCCTGTCGGACCCCCCTGCACCCCACACCCTCGGCCCGAAACTCCTAAACAGCAAGTCCCACATGTGGGTTTCCCAAATTCGGGTTACCTTATTGGGGTCCTTACTGTAAGGGAATCCTCTATTTTCGGGGCCCCCTATTTTCGTAAACCCCGAGCACCCACCCCAAAAACCCTCAACCCTCAACCCTAAACCCTAAACCCTAAACCTTAAACTTTAAACCTCAGGAGACCTTCGTGATCTTGGCCAGCCCGGGAGTGCTGGGGCGCAAGTGGTGCGTCGGCGAGATCGTGACCGCCAAGCTGCACGATGCTCCCCTGACTTCATTGGGGGGGGGGGGTTTAGGGTTTAGGGTTTGGGGTTTAGGGTTGAGGGTTTAGGGTTTAGGGTTTAGGGTGTAAGGCGGTCTAGAGCTTAGGGTTTCGGGCTTGGGGTTGAAAGGCTTTTTGGTTTTTGAGAATTCCCAAGGGCTTTAAGAGAGCTTAGATGGGAACACTCGGCTGCTTCGCTTGGTGCGTGCCCTCAGAGGTCCACAGCGTGATGGTGAGGTGGCCGAACTTCACCGACCCCAATGCAGCTACCTACGAGAATCTCTCGTTTGCCATTCCCGGCGTTGAGGCCAAAAACCTCCGAAAAAGAACACCAAGCCTTAAACCTTAAAACCTTAAGCCTAAGGTGCCCAAACCTAGCACCCGAGGAATTCTACAATCAACCATAGCTTTAGTTGCCCTTGTCTTTCCTACGCAGGAACCTCCAAGTGAACTCTAAATCCTCAGCCCAATCAGCGCCGCCCTCAACCCTCAACCCTCAACCCTCAACCCTCAACCCTCAACCCTCAACCCTCAACGCTCAACCCTCAACCCTCAACCCTCAACCCTCAACCCTCAACCCTCAACCCTAAACCCCAAACTTTTGAACCCGAAACCCTAAACCCCAAACCATAAACCCCCAAACCTCTAAACCCTAAACCCTAAACCCCAAACCCTAAACCCCAAACCCTGAAGCCCTCAAAAAAGCCCCAAACCGCGGAGGCCCTGACGGCGCACAGCATCTCCCTGGAGGACGTGGCCAAGGCCTTGCGCTGGATGAGGACACTCGAGTCCATCCCCTTCCCGCACTCCCTGGATCTGCAGAGCATCTAGGGTCACAGGATTAGTTGTATTTGTTTCTTTATTCATTCATTTTATTTATTTGTTTATTTATTTATTTATTCATTTACCTATTTCATTTATTTATTTATTTGTTTATTTATTTATTTATTATTTATTTGTTTGCTACCCCCCCCCCCCCCCCATGCGCCCACGCTTCAGCATGGTTTCCAGACAAAATACTACGTTCCGCCACCCGCGGTGGTTTTTAAAGGGGGGAGGAACTCCCATAAAACTCCAGCAGAAGTGACCTGAACAATTTGCTCGAGATGGTGGATTGCATGCTATGAGTTTAAATAGAAATCCTATGCATGTGAATAGCGTTCCTATCAATTTAATTGGGTTCATAGGATTCATCTTGTTTCAATAGGAATCTTATAAAAATGAAAAGGAAACCCATTAATAGGAATGAGAACCCTTAATTCTATTAAATTCTATGGTAACCCTATTCAAATGACAGAATCCGATTTAAAATTGATAGGAATCATATTACATTTGTAGGAGCCTTATTAAAATAATTCGGCAAACTATGGAAATGTATTGGAATCTTATACACAGAAAAACAGGAATCCTCTATTTCAATCCATAGGAACCCTAGAAAAAGTAGAACCCAATTATACTTGATAGCAATCCTAATAAACTGAAGAGGGCCCCTACTAAAATTAATAGGAACCAATGGGACTCCTATAAAAAACAAGTGTGAACCCCTAAATAGTAGGAATCCTACTAAAATTAATATGAGCCTAAACCAATCGGTATCCCTTTCAAACGAATGAGATCCCTATTAAAATAAATACGAATCCCATTAACATGAATAAGCATCTGATTAAACTTGATAGGAATTTTATTACATGAGTGGGAGCCTTATTAAAAGAATTAGAAACCCTATGAAACTTTATTGGAATCCTATAAAAATAAATAGGAATCCTCTATTGACTTCATAGGAATCCTGCCAAAATTTGTCGGAACCGATAAAAGTTAATAGGAAGCCTATTAAAATGAATAGGAACCCTTACCAAATTGAAAAGAAACGGTTATAATTCATAGGAATCCTTTTAATATGAGAAGGAACCTTGCGAAATGAATAGGAACCAATAGGACTCCTGTATAAAATAATATGAATCGACTTAAAAGATTGGTTTTTTTGGGACAGTACAGCGTTTTTGCAGTCCCAGGCCTCGAAAGTGCTGTACTGTCCCAAAAAAACCAATCTTTGTAATGCAAAAAGTGCAAAAATGCTGTACTGTCCCAAAAAAAAACAAAAAAACCAAAGTTTGGAGACCTTGGGCTCCTCCAGGACCTGGTGGTCTTCAAACTTTATTTTTTTTGGTTTTTTTGGGACAGTACGGCATTTTTGCTTGTTTTGGCTTAAAAAGATTGGTTTTTTTGGGGCAGTACAGCGTTTTTGCAGTCCCAGGCCTCGAAAGTGCTGTACTGTCCCAAAAAAACCAATCTTTTAAGGCAAAAAGTGCAAAAATGCTGTACTGTCCCAAAAAAACCAAAAAAACCAAAGTTCAGAGACCTTGGGCTCCTCCAGTGCCTGGAGGTCTCCAAACTTTGTTTTTTTTGGTTTTTTTGGGGCAGTACGGCATTTTTGCTTGTTTTGGCTTAAAAAGATTGTTTTTTTTTGGGACAGTACAGCGTTTTTGCAGTCCCAGGCCTCGAAAGTGCTGTACTGTCCCAAAAACCAATCTTTTTAAGGCAAAAAGTGCAAAAATGCTGTACTGTCCCAAAAAAACCAAAAAAACAAAAAAAACCAAAGTTTGGAGACCTTGGGCTCCTCCAGAGCCTGGAGGTCTCCAAACTTTGGTTTTTTTGGTTTTTTTGGGACAGTACGGCATTTTTGCTTATTTTTGCTTAAAAAGATTGGTTTTTTGGGACAGCACAGCGTTTTTGCAGTCCCAGGCCTCGAAAGTGCTGTACTGTCCCAAAAAAAACCAATGCTGTACTGTCCCAAAAAAACCAAAAAAACCAAAGTTTGGAGACCTTGGGCTCCTCCAGGGCCGGGAGGTCTCCAAACTTTGGTTTTTTTGGTTTTTTTGGGACAGTACGGCATTTTTGCTTATTTTTGCTTAAAAAGATTGGTTTTTTTGGGACAATGCAGCGTTTTTGCAGTCCCAGGCCTCGAAAGTGCTGTACTGTCCCAAAAAAACCAATCTTTTTAAGGCAAGAAGTGCAAAAATGCTGTACTGTCCCAAAAAAAACAAAAAAACAAAGTTTGGAGACCTTGGGCTCCTCCAGGGCCTGGAGGTCTCCAAACTTTGGTTTTTTTGGTTTTTTGGGACAGTACGGCATTTTTGCTTGTTTTTGCTTAAAAAGATTGGTTTCTTTTTGGACAGTACAGCGTTTTTGTTCTTCTGGGCCTAAAACATTGGTTCAGTAGAGCGCTTTCGTGCTCGCTGCCCTCGGAGGCTTCGAAATCCTAAGCCTCTAAACCCTACCATGGCAGCTGAGAGGAAAAAGTGTGGGCATATGGGGGGGGGTACCATTTATTTGTTTATTTATTTATTTTTATTTATTATTGTAATAAAAATATTATTAATAATAATAATAATCATAATAATATTTTTTTTTGTTGGGGGGGGTTACGGTTTAGGGTTTAGGGTTTTCTGGGCTGGATTTGGGTGGGCGGGGGTTTGGGGTTGAAGGGTTTTCTTAGGGCAGATTTGGGGCTTGTGGTTTAGGGAATCCATTCGAAAAGTATTTGTGTCGCATGTTTATGCCAAGCGAAACGCTCAACGGGCATTCGGGGCTCTTCTACACAGTTAGGGTTAAGGGTTTAGGGTTTAGGGTTTGGGGTTCAGGGTTTAGGGTTTAGGGTTTAGGGCTTAGGGTTTAGGGTTTAGGGTTTACAAGAAGCGATGGAGGCTTTCAGAGAGCAGCCTAGGCATTGGCAAGCTGTGCGACGCGTTGACCGGGACAGTTTCGTCACGCTCGGAAAGAACCAGTCGTCCAGACTGTGTTATTCTAGTAGATCCTGCGAATCAAGAGGCAGTGGCAGCTGCCTACGTGCTGTTCGAGCTTCTGCGGATGAACAAGTCATTCCGATTGTCGCCGCTTGTGCTGAAAGAAGGCGACGACATACCGGATGGCGCTTCCAAAGCGCTGCTGATTTGCTCTACTGGCTGCTTTCATTCAGGCGTCCTTGCGTCGTGGCTCATCCGCATCACAGCAAACAGCCCGACCATCCTGCCCATCATTGCAGAGCCTGACTTCGCGGTGCCGACGGAGCCCAAGAGCGCTGTAGCTGCAGTCGCAGGTGCGTTCACGGACGCCGAGATGGCAACATACGCGGAGGCGGTGGGAGGCATCTTCCAGGAGATCGCGAGTGTTTTGGCGCCGCAGTCGTACTCCAGTACGCAGGCGGCTTGGGTGCACACACTAGGGGGCCATGTTCTTCATTTTCTTCTTATTATTATTAGGATGATTATTGTTATTATTATTATTATTATTTTCTTTTTCATATTCTTCTGCTTCTTCTTCTTCTTCTTATGATTTGTTTTTCTTTTTCTTCTTCTTATTCTTATGATGATTATCATTACTTGTAGGGTTCAGGGTTGCGTGAGTGTATTCCTGTGGCCTGAACACTTGATATAGCAAACCCCTCATTCTGAAAGCGAGAGAGAGATTGGGGCCTGATGAAGACCGCGATCAAGGCCTCCCTATTCTAAAGCCCCCATAAACTTCCTTAAGATTCCTCAACCTTCTAAACCCTAAACCCTAAACCCTAAGCCCTAAACCCTAAACCCTAAACCCTAAACCCCTAAACCCCTAAACCCCTAAACCCCTAAACCCCTAAACCCCTAAACCCCTAAACCCCTAAACCCCGAAACCCCTAAACACCTCGAAACCCTAAACCCTAAACCCTAAACCCTAAACCCTAAACCCTAAACCCTAAACCCTAAACCCTAAACCCTAAACCCTAAACCCTTAACCCTTAAACCCTAAACCCTAAACCAAAAACATCCCAGGAAGACCTGGATCTACGCGTGAAGCAGATCGCCTTCCGCCTGCAGTCTAAGGGCTCCCGTCTCCGGCTGACGGAGCTAAGGGACGACTCGCTGCGAGGAGAGGCTGGCGAGGAGCTCTTCAGAATTTGAAGGGGCTCTTCCCCGTGATGTGGGCAAGGCTTAGGGGCCTGTCGGGGTGTTTTAGGGTTTTTTTTTAGGGGCTTTGGGGTGAGGGCCTTGAGGGGATTCGAGGTTTAGGATTGGGGGTGTTTTCAGAGGACGATTCTGCAGCCGTGCCTGCAGCACGTAGGGCTACCCGAATAGGGTCTCGGCATGTGCATGAGCTTGCAACAGCCTAAAACCCTGGACCCTAAACCCTAAAGAGCTCTTGTAAATGCCGACAAGACCCTGATGTGTTTGATCTTATGTCTTGTTCCGGCACTGTCCACGGCTGTGGAGCTGCGACTCCATTTCCCAAAAGTTCTTTGTGCAGTCGGGCGCCTGTGCCAACGAAGTGGCTAGTTCTCAAAATGAGGGTCCCTTTTTGGGTTCCTTAGTAGAAGGGTGCCGTATTTTATGGGGGACCCTGAAAGCGACCCTAATTTAGAGAACTACCCAAATGCTGAAAGAGCAATTACTCGCGGCGGACATGCATGGCGCTTGAGATGTGAGCAGGTCACAGATGCCACTGGTGACACTTGAGCCCCAAACCCCAAACCTCAGAGGGCGGAATGGAGCACTGTTGGGACTCCCCAGTCTAGAGCCCCCCCCTTCCCTTCCCTTCCCTTCCCTTCCCTTCCCCCTTCCCTTCCCTTCCCTTCCCCTCGCCTTCCTTTCCCTTCCCTTCGCCTTCCCTTCCCTTCGCTGTCGTCAAGACGCTTAGCCGCTATTGTGTGTGTGTGTGCGTGAGGGGATGGACTCTTGCGGGTTTGTGTGGGCTCTGATTCTATTCTTTGTTGGGTGGTCCTTTTATGGTGGTCAAGGGAACATATTTAAGTGTAGACTCCAAACCGGGTAGTGTAGATCGAGCCCCAGTATCTGAAGATCCCAGGTCCCCCCCCCCCCCCCCCCCCCTCTTCATAAGCCAGCGCTACAGGTCCCCGGTCTTTGCGGCAACCTTCTCCCCAAAACCCTAGACCGTCAAGCCACTTACCGCTGCTGCTCTGAACCTCGATGTCAGCCAGGAATCAGAAGCCTGGAGGCCTAATGGGCCGAAACAAGATGCTAAGATCCCGCAGACCCGAACGAAAGCTCTAAACCCAAAAGACCTAAACCCTTATGCCTAAAACCCCTCAAGTCCAAGGCGTAAACCCGAACCCTTAACTCTAAGCGCCCCTAACAGGCCTAAATGCCCCTAAAAGCCCCTAAAAGGCCCAAAACCCAAAACCCAAAACCCAAAACCCTAAACCCTAAACCCTAAACCCTAAACCCTAAACCCTAAAGGCCTAAGAAGCCCCCAAGAGGCCCAAAAGCCCTTGAGTGGATGAGGCTGGGCCTGGGCGGCCCTCTACGGCCTCAGGAGCCTGCAGTGTGCCCGTGGAGGCAGCGCTTGGGGGAGGGGTGGTTCTGGGTTTAGGGTTTAGGGTTTAGAGTTTAGGATTTAGGGTTTAGGATTTAGGGTTTAGGGTTTAGGGTTTAGGGGGGGTGCTATCTAAGGGCACCGAGCCGAAAAGGTCATCAAGGATCTTGAAGGGCATCATACCCGTACTCTGTCGTCTACAATGTAGTGCCAGCTTTCGTGGCCAGGTTTGCGGTTGACGGATTCTGGTCAGGACCGACTAATCAGGAAGCAAGGAAACAAAAGCAAAGAGATGCACTAGGGTCACTAGAGGCGGAGGACGGGCAATCCTCCTTAAGACAAACAACTTCCTTAGCTATGGCTGCTTCGGGGCGACCTTATGGGTTTGCCCAGCAACGCGTGAGCTTCAGCCTCACTGGCGCAAGCAGCGCCCATGTCAATGCAGAGATGGTCGTCTGCAGCCGCAGCTTTCGAGTTTGTCCGATTCCACTTCCTCAAGATATCTCAGATATCTCAACCCTCGAGCCATGTTGCCGCGTGCGCTTGGTGGGGCTCTTCTGCTTGCAGTGGCAACTACTCTTTGTGGCTGCGGCGAAGAAGTAGTGCACCCAGAGTCTTAACTTTCTACAAGTACTTATTGTGATTGTTGCGGTCTTTGCTACACGTTTGTTTTGCAGGGTTCAGGTTGTGTTAGTTCTCCAAGATTTGGCTCTTACGCGTTTTGGGGTCTCGCAGCTTAGCCCTCTTCTAAAAGCTTTATCGTTCATTGCTCAACAGCCCTTGATTGAAGGATACACCCCTGAAAGCACGTTCAAATCTACATTCTGAAAACCTAGGCCCCAAACCTACCTTATTAGGGGACACTATTCCTTAGAGCCTTGGTGTTCCTTATACTTGAGCACCCTAAGCCCTATCTTAATTCTTAAGGCCCCTCCATTCGTGGGGTTTCCTCTGGTAAAGGAGTGCTCCACCTTCAACAAGAACGGTGTGGCGCCAGTGACCGACTCGGCGACTTGCCGCACCGCCTGCCAGACGGCCGAAGGGCTCAGGGAGATGCTCGGCCGATTTTGGAGAGCATCTTTGGTCCTAAACCCTAAACCCTAAACCCTAAGCCCTAAGCCCTAAACCCTAAACCCTAAGCCCTAAACCCTAAACCCTAAACCCTGGTCCTTGTAGTCTGTAATCTTCACACCACCACAGCAGCAGGAAGCAAAACAAGCAACACTGGCGAACAATGGTTGACGCAGATGTTTACACAAATGTGTACATGTGTAAACGTGTATGTGTGTGTGTATGTATGCATGCATGCATGCATGTATGCATGTATGCATGTGTTACAATGTATGTGTCTATATGTATATATATATATATGTATACACATGTGTATATGTAAATAAATAAATAAATATAAATAAATAAATATAAATATAAATATAAATATAAATATAAATATAAATATAAATATAAATATAAATATATATATATATATATGCGCACACATAGAGAGAGATAGATAGTTCGCGGTGTATGCATATTTACATACGGTTGTAAATATACATATGTACACGTACAGAAGCAAACATGATACTGCATACACACTACACACATGTAGAGGGCCTCCAAGCCAAGCGCGGCCCAGGATTAACGGCCAGCTCCAGGACTGGAAGGGGAGCTCGGGCTCTGGACTCGCAGTGGCATTTTGGGAGACTTTTCGTGGGGGGGGGGGGGGGTCTTTACAGATTTCGGAGTGAGGATCGTTGCGTTTGAAAAGGTTTTTTTGGGGACGGCCTTTCGGGGTTCTTGTCGACTTCAGGCTTGGAGGGACGTTTCAGGGTTATTTGGATTCATGCAGGGGTGTGAGGTGTAAGGGTGCTACCGCATAATTAGTTTATGATGTAGAAGTCTCGTCTCTATCATAAACTAGCACTGGTCCTAGAACGGTGTTTATTCAGGGTTTGGAAGTCATGAACAGTTTGCATTGGAGGGCGATGAACTGCAGCCGAGGAAAGTGTGAGTGCGTCACCGATGCGAATGGTATCTGGGATCGAGAGTATAGTCACTCAATTCTTGTGTTCTGTTGGATTAGCTTTTTGATTGGGCTCGGATTTGGGATTAAAGTGCTGTCCGATGTGAAACCATGCGACTATACTGCTTGATGAAATCTGTGTGCTTTGTTGTTCCGGCTTCATGATATGCACCTTTACACAACTGTAGCTTGAGTTATTTACCGTTATTGTTGGAGAACCAAGGCAACCGGAGGACTGCGTGCCAGGACAGTGGCTACTCAGCATGAGCGGGTTCACACATCCCCGACCTGCAGACGAATTGAGTTCCTTTCTGAAGCCTGAAAGCCGAGAGACTTGGGGCCAAGGTGCTCCATAGCAAGGCAGGCAGAGCGCGAAAAAGATGCTGCAGAGTCCGCAGGCACCAGTGCCAACCTTGCTAGAATCTACCTACACCTCAAAAGATGGACTTCTGAGTCCTAAACCCTAAACCCTAAACCCTAAACCCTAAACCCTAAACCCTAAACCCTAAACCCTAAACCCTGAACCCTGAACCCTAAACCCTAAACCCTAAACCCTAAACCCTAAACCCTAAACCCTAAACCCTAAACCCTAAACCCTAAACCCTAAACCCTAAACCCTAAACCCTAAACCCTAAACCCTAAACCCTAAACCCTAAACCCTAAACCCTCACCCCTAAACCCTAAACCCTAAACCCTAAACCCTAAACCCTAAACCCTAAACCCTAAACCCTAAACCCTAAACCCTAAACCCTACTGTAAACCCTAAACCCAAAGAACCCTGAACCTGAACCCTGAACCCTACCCTTGTCAAAACCCTAAATCCAAAGCCGCAGACCCCCAAAACCCGAACCCCCCCCTGCCCCCCAAAACGGAGGATGTCCCCGCAAGCTGGGCCTCACCGGGGTCGGGTGCCAGCAGCGTTCCGGTGGAGGCCCCAACATCTCCTGCGGCAAAAACTTCTGCGGGGGCTTCAGGGTTAAGAAGGGGGTTCAGGGCTTTCGGGGGTTAGGGGGGCTTAGTGCTGCATGGGCCCTGAGGGGTTTAGGGGGGTTTAGAGGGCTCAGGGCCTCAGGGGGCTTGGGGGCTTAGCTGGTTTGCAGACCCTGCGCTGGTGGGTTTCGAGCGGCTCCGGTCTTTCGTGCTTTCGGGGATTGTGGGGCTCTTGAAGGTCCTATTAAACCCCTTAAGCCCAAAGCCTCTTAAGCCCCTAAACCTCTCTCTCTCCCCCAAATGCTGAAAAGCCCAACGTCCCAAAGTCGGTGGGAAGGCAGTCCAGCCCATTGTGGCGCCGCGCCCTCAGATTCGGGGTGCGGGATTTAGCAGAGGGCCCGAGGGTTTAGGACTTAGGGCTGAGGGTGTTACAGGCCTTCAGAATTTTGTAAGGTTTGCTGGGTTCAAAAGGGTTTAATGGTTGGGTGAAAGGGTTTCATGGGTTGAAGCGGCTTATGGCTTCGGAGCTTCGGGTAGATCACATGCATGGCAGGGTGTTGGGTTTCTAGGGTGGTCTGGGTTTCTATTCCCTGAAGAAATGGGCCCTTAATGGGCACCCGAAAAGGGACCCCCCCCCACAAGTGTGTGCAGATGTATTTCAGTCTCAGGATCACAGTATGGGAACGCATACTCTTCGGCTTTGAGAGGGTCGATGAAGAAGCCCACAGCTTCTAGCTTCCTGTGAAAACTCAAGACGATCAGCCTACAGGGCTTGACAGTCTTTCATAGCCTGAAGCCTCAAACTCTAACCCCAAAGCCAGGCCTGCTTGGAGGTTCCTGCAACAAGGACAGATAGGACAACGACTGTTGTCATCGTTTAAAAACGTACTTGGGGGTATGAGCCCTTTAATATAGGCCCCCCCAAATAGTGAGGATCCCCGTATAGTAAGGACCCCAATAAGGTATCTCTAATTTCGGACACCCCCACTTGTAGCTGCGCATGATCCTTGAAGTGGACCGGGCCTTGTGTGCAAGTATTCTCTGTGGGGACCCATTCCGGCAAATGCGGGTGCAACAGCACCTCTTGTGTTTCTGGGTTTTGGGGGGGGGGGGGGGGGGGTGTTCGGTGGATGTGCAGTTTAAGGAGGGTTTAGGGTTTGGAATTTGGGGTATAGGGTGTTGCCCTTGAGGCCCCGACCCCTCAAAACTAGCCTAACCCCCAAACCCTTAAACCCTTCCAACCGCATATGGCATAGCATAGCTTAACATAGCATAGCACAACATAGCCTTAGTATAAATAGACTATCGGTAGAGTTCAGCAAGTGCAGCATCGTTCCGTACACCTGCCAGGCCAAGCCCCCCAAAGTCGCTGATGACCTCCTTTCGCCAGGCCTGTTCAAGAGGGCTTGGGAGTTTCGGGGGCTGAGGGCGGTTTGGGGATGCCCTAAACCCTAAATCCTAAACCCAAACCCTGAACCCTAAACCCCGAAACCCCCGCAGGACTTTTGGGAACTCCGAGGGGGTGTGGGGCGCCTTAGACTTTGGGCTGCTTAGAGCTCACAGGATGTTTTGATGTGGTCTTGAAGCTCAGGGAACTTTTTTTTTTTTGGGGGGGGGTGGGGGGGGGGGGGGGGTGGGGGGGAATTCTGCTCTGTCTGCCCCAAAGACATAGGTAACCCTAAGACACTATGTAACCATAAGAGCTGATAGAACTCTAAGACTAAATACATATAAACAACTTTATGTACATATATATAGAGTACATATACGTGTATATATATACATATGTATATATATATATATGTATATGTACATGTATGTGTATATGCATATGTATGTGTATCTGTATATATATATATATATGTACATATAGCCCTCAGACTCCGAGACCCTAATCCGTGGCGTGTGTCGGCTCGAAACGCTCCAGAGATCTCATTTGCATTCGCACGTGCTCGCTGTGGCCAAGCCTGCCGCCCAGCCTCCCACAACCGAATCCGGCGCAGGGGTTCGGTGGTTATAAAGTTCAAGAGTGGAAGTCCTAAACGCTTAGGGGGTCGGGGTTTGAGGGTTTGAGCCCTAAGCCTTGTTTACAGGATTTTGGTGTTTTAAAAGATTTTGCAGGTTGAAGGGTGTTTTGGTTTATGGCTTTCAGTTCGGGTGTTAAGGGTCTCAGGGTTCAGGAACTCAGCGTTGCCTCAAGCTCCAAGAACACAAAACTGGGGTGAGTTTAGGGTTTAGTGTTTGGAGTGTCAGCAGGCTTTGCATCAAGAGGTTTTGAGAGCCTAGAGCCGCGCTCAGACACGGGTTCGGGAGTATTCCTGTTTGCATGATAGTAGTTCTGCTACTGCATATACGAATAAGGATGCTCATAATGGTCATTGGTAATAATAGCAATACCGATAATGTCTTCTTGGGGGGGAGCGGAGGGTCCTGAGCGTCTTAATGGGGGAAAGAGGTCTGGGGTTTTATTTTTAGTTTTTGATTGTGTGTTGTTTTGGGGTTTAGTTTTTGGGGGTTTGGGGGATTCGTCTTTTTGTTAGCTTATTCTAGGGCTTTTAGGGCTGTTTTAGGGTTTGGGGTTGTAGGGGACTTGGGCTTCAGCGTTTAAGCTTCGGGGTTTGAGGGGTTTGCGGATTCAACGTTACTTCGGAGCATGGAGTTAAAGGGGCTGAGGCCTCAACCCTAAAATTAGGGCCTAACGCCAAGAGCACAAACCCTCAGACCCCCAAACCTAAGCCCAAAGCAGGCCCAAAACCGAACCCTTCACAGCACGAACGCCCCAAACCTCCTAAACCCTAAACCCTAAACCCTAAAACCCCAAACCTGCTAAACCCCTATTGCATCCCTTAGGACCCTGCACCTTTCGAGTTCAAGCCTTTCCTGGTTGACGATTGTTCCCTAAACCCTAAACCCTAAACCCTAAACCCTAAACCCTAAACCCTAAACCCTAAACCCTAAGTCCTCAAGTGGGGCTTAGGGCATGGAGTTGAGGATGCAGCTTTTGAGCGCGAGCTAGGCTCCAGGGTTTTGTGGTTTGGGGCTTGGGGTTTAGGGGTAGCAAAAGCCAGGCTTTAAGGCTTGGGCTTGAGGGCTTCAGGTAACAGAGCGCTTCTGCCCTAAACCCTAAACCCTGCTCCCCCCCCCCCCCCCCCCCCCAAAAAAAAAGAGTAAAAAACAATAAAGCTTACTTTTACCTACTCTATCCATTGGCCTCGCGAGCCTTTGGAATCTTGTCAAGAGTCGTAGAGCCGAACTACCGAATTCGGTCGAATTCAAATCTGATCTGCTTGGGAAAAACAAAGCTTAGTAGGGTCTCCACCCCTCCGGCCGAGGCCCTTCGCACAAAAGCACTTGCTAGCAACATGCCCCTGGGCTCGCAGTGGGCGTCTGGCTGCTCTAATCCCCTAAGTCCCTATAGGGCCCTAATGGCCCCGAATGCCCTAAAGCCCTGAAGCCCTAAACCCTTGAGCCCGAAGCCCTAAACCCTCGAACCGTAAACTTTGCCCCAAACCCTCCCTCCTCCCAAAGCCCTAGAGCCTCGAGCCCAAAGCACCTAAGCAAAGCCTTCAACTCGACGTGGGCTTCTGGTTCTCTCACTTTTAAGGGCCAAGTGAGCCCAAGTGAGCCCAATTGTCTCTTCCCTTGGGGGGTTTAGGGGCGGGATTCAAGGTGTAGGGCTCAGGGCATGGGTGGCCTTCGGGCTGAGGGTTCAGGGGTCAGGGCTTGTGGAATGCCTTTTTAGGGTTTGGCCGTAGGGGGTGTGGGGCCTTGTCACGAGAGTGTGGGGTGACTACACTAGTCTGCGCCAACCCTGGTCCAGGCCGGTTGATTATGGACTCCTGCTGCTTCATCACCTCACCCTCCGCCCTAAACCGTAGACCCCATGTAAAAACCGCTCAGCCCCAATCCGAAATCCTTGGTTTTTAGGGTCCTGGGCCTTCTAAACCCCAACCCCCGACTCTACCTCACCCTGAAGGGGTATATAGCCGAATTGTAACGTTCCACAACCTGCTTCAAACTCCGCAGGTGTGATGCCATCCCATGTCCCTCCAAGTAGCCCCAAGCCCCAAGCGCCAAGCCCCAAGCCCCAAACCCCAAACCCCAAACCCCAAACCCCCAATCCCAAACCCTGAACCCTGAACCCTGAACCCTAAACCCGAAACCCGAAACCCTAAACCCTAAACCCGAAACCCTAAACCCTAAACCCTAAACCCTAAACCCTTACTTTGCAGGGCCTTCTGCACCTGCTGCGCCGTGGACAAGTCTGAGCTCGACCTTGGCTCGAAGCCAATGGTGGAGGCCCCCACCCGCTTCCGGGGTTTGGGGGGGGGGGGGGA